TAAACCATTATTATTTAAATCATAAACCATTTTTGCTGCAAAGTCTGTACTGTATCATTGATGTAGAATAAAATAGATTTTTGCCTGCTTTCCTTACCATTAGAAAAGGTCTGTGATCCACGTCTCACCAAATCTCCCAACATTACTCTCTTTTTCTCCATCTGATTTTAAATAGTCAAGAATTGTTACTGGCAGTTAGGAATGGCTATGGATGCTACAGTAACATTCAGACGCAGTTCAATTCCATTCATTCAATTTGGTGTGGCGGCCTACTCCAGAAGACTCTGGGTGGCTTACAAAATCACCCCCACCCCCAATAAAACCTAAACCCACATAAACAGGCAGTTCACACTAAAACAACTAAAAGGACAAACAGTACAAAAGATACGAACGGGCCCTCAGTCCTGACTGTGAGGTGCACTAATGCACAGGCAAATTAGTAATTTCCCTGCTGACTTCATCTTCCTGCCTTCCTTTTGCCCGGTGGTTCCTCACTCACCTGTCTGAGTGATGCTGCTCTTCCTAGACATGTTACGTTGATGGTGAGGATCAAAACCCCTTGACTATTGCTGTCTGTTTGGTTGGTTCAAATCGTTCAACTTCTTGGTGCACGTTTACATAAAATACTACAAAGCAAAAATAGTTTCTAAACCATACAATGGATTGCTGTAAGTCTGCTCTTGACTGAAAGACTGGATATGACTTGTGTGAATAGAATAAATATATTCTATACATTCTACCCAGAGACCTTGGAAGTTAGTGATTGTACTGATGAAGTTAATAATTAATTGTCTGACCTCTTACAAACAGAAATTTAGCATTCTTCTGTGAATGCCAAAAAAGAAAAAGAAAACAGTGGAAGAGTTTTATAATTTTTTTTAAAAAAATCAGCTGTCTGAAATGCTTTAAGTACTGTTAAATTAAGAAGTCCCATGAGATGGCCATTCACTACAGCTCTCAAGAAACACTGGCAGGTAGTAATGGGAGTATCATTGCTTATGTTGCTATTCTTTTAATAATTAAAAAGAAACTCTGGAAATGGATTTGGGGGGCTTAGCTACCCTGTTTATCCTTGTTGACAATGATAAATGATAGTGATGTAGTGATGTTAGTAACATGATCCTCTAAAAGTGTCCTAGTGGCCTGGATGGGATGGTGAGTAGCAATCTTGCCAGTTTGATCTTGTGCATGTGGCAACCATTTTATGTGAAGTACAAGGCAAATCCATGAATCACTATTAGGCTGGCAGCTCAAAATAATTAAATAACAAGATCACAAGCATATTTAACCAGCTATCAAGCAACAATAACATTAAGCATGCATTTAGCTCTAGCTGTTCTACAGCAGCCAATCTTAGCTAAACCTGGCTCATCATTATTTTCTTAACTCTCCTCTATGTTTTGCAGTTAAAAGAGGTCTCTTGGAAGAGTCTCTCCAAAATAAGTTACCACTACTGAAAAGGAGTGTCAGCTACACTTGGATGAAAGGAACTTTCTCTAATAGCGCCTGTAACCTAAATTGGCAGCATTAAAATATTGTGTTACTGTTTGAAAGACATTTGAAATGAAATGTCAGTAATATTCAGAACAAATTTAGAAAGGCTCAGATAAAACCATACAGAACCAGGAAAATTTGGGCAGCCTTGTTGGTCCAAAAAACTCTGACTTTCTCATACGGATTCGACCTCAGAGAAAAGAAGAAAAGTATGTGTTTGAGATATCCAAAAGCACAAGTATATTTTGTGACATTGAACATAATTATTGTTAAGTCAAGGGAATGCCAAAGATACTAGGATGGGAAAGCTAAGAATGCTGATTTGGTAATATGAGGCATACTTTTAAAATTATTTTATGTTATTCTTAGCATTTTTGACACTGAAATGTTCTTGGTTTAAAAGGCATCTGAATGTATTTCTGTTCAATTGATGTATTTCTGTTCAGGTTTATGTTTGGGATTGAGATAACTTTGGCCATCCTATGCCAGAAACTAGCAGTATGTTATGGCTGGTTCTCCTGAACCACTGAGCAGCATCATGACAATAGTATTCTTTCTAGACTGTTGACAGGGATGGGCTTAGGAAATATAATTTTGTTATGATCATTCAGTAAAAGGTATTTCAAAAGTTGGGGGACTCTTCTTTAACCCTTCTATCCTTGCACTGTTGTGTAGCATTCCCAGGGATTCAACATTGTTCCTTATGTTATATCTTCCTAGAACTGCTGGAGAAAAAAAAAAAAGATCCAGGAAAGTGGCTACTGTTTGTTTTCCTATCTTAACAAGAAAAACAAAAGAAATGAAATAATTATAGCAAATGGCCTTTTTACATATAAGAGAACAAGAAAATGCATAGCTTGAAAGAATTTTCCTTGTAAGTCTGCTTGTGAAAGAAATCAGTAAGTTCCTTAGAAATTAATATATGAATGTGACTAAGAAATTCCACGTAGAAGAAAAATTGAGATAAAATTATAAAGATATTGAGTTTGACCTCATTTCCCTGGGTTGCAAATCATGAACTTTCTACTGAGATAAACAGAATTATCCTCAAAGTAAACAATTGTTAAGTCAGATATGTAAATGAGGAAAAGTGGATAGGCATTTAGCAGATATTAAAGCTAAAAAAGTAAAGCTTTGTTATGCTCAGGTACAATACTGTCTATACTATACACATCTTATGGAGGCATTCAGGGATAGTAGGGTAAACAAACATCCAGTGTGAGATATTATCCATTTAAATATAATATGATGGAATGAAAAGTTTGGGCAATAAATAAAAGGTGTTATTCGATAGGGTTGTGCACGCTTTGGAGTAACTGGGAAGAGGTGCTTCATCCCTTGAACACCAACATGTTTCAGTCTTCCAGGCAAGCCTATAAGAATGTTTTGGCTGATTTAAGAATTGTATTAACTTTAATAAGTGAATTCCTTAAAGCAGCAGCATTTTTTCCAGTCTTTTAGAGCTATTTTTAATTAACAGTATAGAGGTGTAGTGAAGTGGTTAAGAGGTTAGACGTGAAACAGGGAGATGCTAGTCTACCCTCAGCCCCAGAAATTCACTGAGTGACTTTGGACCAATCACTCTGTCTCTCAGTCCAACTTACTTTACAGGATTGTTACAGTGAAAAATAAGTAGAAGGAGCACCATTGTGTTCCTGAACAAAAGATGGGAAATAAATAAATAAATAAATAAATAAATAAATAAATTTGTTTAAAATATTTCCCCCCTCAACTTTACTAATGAAAAGTATTTAAAATGACTATCAGAAATATTTTTGTTTTTTATATTTATAATTTTTATTAAAGATTTTAATTACAGTAATAAAAACTAATACAAACTGAACTAAGAGAGAGAAAGGAAAGTAAAAAGAGAGAGTAAAAAGTGCAAAGAAGAAAAATAAAAAAGAATAAAAAA